GGCTCGCTTCCGCCGGGGCCTTCGCGTGTGGGTGCAGCTGGGAGCGTCCCGTCCCGGGCACGGGATTTCAGGGGAGATGGACTCCGCGTGGAAAGGCCGCACGTCGGCCCGCGGAAGGAAGTTGTGAACGTGTGCTTGTGACGCTGTGTAAAACAGAATGTCTTATGTTTTTTCAAGACCACTTAAAATACACGGGGCTTATTTCCTTCCCTCCGCCCCGAAAAAGGAAAGGTGAGGCGATTCCGCTAGGAACTAACTAATGTAGATATACCTGTTCCCTGGCGGGAAAGCTTTGTTCTGTAAGTACGTTCTAAGCACGCGCAGAAAAGATTTTTTCTGAAGGCGTACCATAAGGATATGCTTTTGGACAGCATACAATTACTTTGCAGCCTAATGAGGCGAGATGAGGTAAGACCTATCCCATAAGGGTCTGTTGCGCCAGGAATAGAAATCCAAGTTGGATGTAGCCTAGTTGTGGTGTGCCATCCCTCCTCCCCTTTCTTGTGCTTCTAATGGAGATGCCAGGTGAGAGGCTATGTCCTCTCAAAGGATCCCAAAACCCAACAGGCTGTCATGTCATGTAGTGGGTTTTTTTTTTTCCAAATCTATTAACTGCCTAATAACCTGGGCAGACCTATGTTCTCTCTCCATCTCTCTCCTAGGCCTGAAGCTTCCCAGAAGGACAGTGTCAGTGGCACTGCAGGCGCCCGGGCAGCCTGAGGGCTGCTCTGCGCTTCGAGAGGCTGCAGCTTCAGCACAGAAAGCTTTGCTGGAGGGTAGAGGACAGACCAGCAAGACTCAGCTTGTGGCAAATGTGAAAAACTGTAGGGGTTTGTATTGTCAGACTGTGTTGATGCTTTTCTGATCGAGAACAAGCTTCAGTACAAGAGATTCACTATGCAGTTCTTGTTTGAGAAAAATCTTTGACGGTCTCCAATAATTCAAGGGAGTGGATTTTGCATGAGAATTTCATCTCCAGAGGCTGCTGTGAGTCTAAAGCATTTAACTGGAGCAATTACCCAAGTGTGCCCAGGCACCCTCTGGTTCACAAGGGTGTTATTAGCCTCTCACAGATATGAATATCAGCTTCACACAGTATGTTAAACAAGCAGCTAACATTCACAAGGCATGTGCAGATCTGTTGTGTGGGCCACTTAACGTATCAGACCTAGGAGACAAAGCTGAAAAGCGAATTTTGACCTCTTTGAACTTTACCATTGCCAGGGTCTCAACCCAGATCTACATTTCAATTTTGCCAGAATTCAGGAGCAGAAATCATTAGTTAGGCCTAATGAGGATGAGTTCAGCTGTTAAGTCTTAATTCTAGAACAGATGCAGACATCTTAAAGGTTTAAGAATTGTTGGATTGCCTTAAAAAAACCACACAAATCAGCCTCGCATCCCATCACTGTGCTGTAAGTGGCCAAGACCAATTTTGTACATATGCAGTAACAATTATTTCCATTTTCATAGACTCATAGAATAGTTTGGGTTGGAAGGGACCTCTAAAGGCCATCTAGTCCAACCCCCCTGCCGTGGGCAGAGACATCTTCAACTAGATCAGGTTGCTCAGAGCCCCGTCCAACCTGACTTTGAATGTTGCCGGGGATGGGGCATCCACCACCTCTCTGGGCAACCTGTGCCAGTGTTTCACCACCCTCAGCGTAAAAAATTTCTTCCTTATATCTCGTCTAAATCTACCTGCCTTTAGTTTAAAGCCATTCCCCCTTGTCCTCTCGCAACAGGCCCTGCTAAAAAGTTTGCCGCCATCTTTTTTTTATAAGCCCCCTTTAAGTACTGATAGGCTGCAATAAGGTCTCC